AACAATCTCATGATGTTGCTCTTCTGCATAGCATAGTGTTCCATTTTGTATTTGCTGAGATGCTTTTATACAATTGTACATGCAAATGTGGAGGAAAAACTGTGAGGAGGTGTCAACACATTGCAGGGCGTGAACAGACAGCAGATGAAAGGAGAGGGAAAACAATCCGTTTTGTGTTAATATTGGAAGAACTTGAAACAAAATACACCCAGCTATATCTTTCTGTTGCACACACAGACACTAACTGGATGCTCACCCTCAGTTTATTTATCAGGATAAATGCAATTTTCAGTGTGAGTCAGACTAAGAACTGTGGTGTTTAATGAGTGAGAGAAAGCCAGGAGTCTCTCCATTCTCTCTCTTGTTAATGTAAACTACATGCAAATGAACAAATGCTTACAACACCTGCACACAGGCATGTTTAGACATTTTTTATATATTTTTTTTGTAATTTGTTTTTATTGAATCAGGCACAGTGAGTTTACATTTATACAGTCAGTATTTTTTTTTTTTTTTTTTTTTTAATACAAAAATACATGGCTCATGGACACATTTTAGAATTTGTTAAAAAAAACTGATGACTGATTTCTTATCCGCATTGCTCATGGTTTCATATTTCCTCATGGAAACTGAGTATGTACCTGTTATCCCTACAGACGTCTCTATGAATTTCTTTCATGAAATTGACAAATGGAAGCAAAAGCGTAACATATTACAACTCCTTTTGGGGCTCAGCCTGTCAGTCCCTTCCAATCTCTCTCTGCTTGTCTTTCTTTGACCAAACCTGGACGAGTGCGGTGTGCACACACAACGACAGCAGCACTGCATGGCTCCATATAAAAGAACAAACAATCTAAATTCACCTTACATGTGTATGACTGCTTTCCATGGGTCTGTCTCATAAGTAGCAAGTGATTAACAGTGAAGAGCACACACTCCCTGTTCTGTTATGTAATGGGCTCACAAAGAGAGCTGCAGGCTGTGCCCACCCCACACAGTCTTTGGAGAGGATCACTTGTACCAAGCTGGTATGAAGATAATCTACCCAGCACAGAGTTAATTACACAGAGTATGTAATCTCTAAAGCGACCGATACACAACACAACAGGGAAGCAGAACTAATATCATCTTAGACACGGATAAATCAGTAAAAAAGTCTGCTTCATTTCATGTGCTAGTTAAAGCATATTCTATGGTTATTGGGCAGTAGGGTGGCACTGTTTAAAACTGTCCCTTTCCTCATTTGTTACTATATACAAGGAAACCAAATATGTCCCTCTAATTTACTAATCACATCATCTATTTAGGTGTTTTTAAGTTTATCTAATTCACTTACTTTTTGCAAACAGAAAATAAAAAGTTGCATATTTAGGTTGTACTCTAACATTTTGTTCTCTGTCTTTTCTTAGGTTCAAATCTTTGCATGAGGAAGTGAAAACAGACAAAACTATCAGCAGAGATTAAGTTTGGACCAGATGATCTTCTGACCTGGCTTCTCCCAATACCTTTCTCCTGGATTTGAAGTCACCACAATCAATAGTGCCTGCAGCACGTAGCTAGCAGTAAGAAAGACCAATGCTCATGAACTTTCCCTACAAGCCTTTCTCTAGAACGCTGCCACTCATCTAAGCTGTGTGTGAGCAGAGAGAACAGAAACATGGCACTCAGCTCAGGGCCTCCTCTGCTCTGGCTGTGCTTGGGATTATTTATTTCCTTAATTTCGCCCGTAAATGGCAACGAATGTCCTCATTTGTGTGTATGCGAGATCCGACCATGGTTCACCCCCCAGTCGACCTACAAGGAGGCGACCACAGTGGACTGCAATGATTTGAGGCTCACGCATATCCCTACCAACCTGTCCACTGATACTCAGGTGTTACTGCTCCAAAGTAACGCCATCTCTCACACCAGAGGCGAGCTGGAGGCACTGTTCAACTTGACAGAATTGGATTTGTCCCAGAACAACTTCAGCACTGTGGAAGCTGTGGGCCTCAAAGGCATGAACCACCTGACCACCCTTCACCTAGAGGAGAACCAGATCAGCAAGTTGCCAGACCAATGCCTGGGAAACCTCTCCAATCTCCAGGAGCTTTACATCAACCACAACCAGATAAGCTCCATTTCCCCTCGGGCCTTCGCAGGTCTGCACAGCCTGCTGCGCCTCCATCTTAACTCCAACAGGCTCCATGTCATAGACAGTCGCTGGTTTGAAGAAACACCTAACCTTGAGATCCTCATGATCGGGGAGAACCCAGTGTTTGGCCTACTGGACATGAACTTCAAGCCTCTAAAAAGCTTGAGGAGTCTTGTCTTGGCTGGCATGGACCTCACTGATGTTCCAGCAAATGCTTTTGTTGGTTTGGATAGCCTTGAAAGTATTTCTTTCTATGACAACAAACTGGTAAGAATCCCTCAACTGGCCCTTCAAAAAGTTCCCAATCTGAAATTCTTAGATTTAAACAAGAATCCAGTTCTCAAAATCCAAGAAGGAGATTTCAGGAACATGTTACATCTAAAGGAGCTGGGCATAAACAATATGATGGAGTTAGTTTCAATTGATCGCTATGCCCTGGACAACCTACCAGAACTGACAAAGCTGGAGGCCACTAACAACCCAAAGCTGTCCTATGTGCATAAATTGGCTTTTAGGGACATGTCATCTTTGGAGAGCCTCATGCTGAACAATAACGCCCTCACTGCCCTTTACCAGCACACTGTAGAAGTGTTGCCTAATCTGCGGGAGATCAGTCTGCATCGTAACCCATTGCGTTGCGACTGTGTTATTCAGTGGATGAGTTCCAACAGAACGAGTGTGCGCTTCATGGAGCCCGTCTCCATGCTCTGCACCTCCCCACCAGAACTCAGAGGTCAGCCGGTTCGAGAGCTAAGGCTGCTGGATTCTCCGGAGCAATGCCTGCCCCTCATATCCCACGACACCTTCCCCAGCCACTTGAACCTCGAGCTGGGCATGAGTGTCAGTCTTGACTGCAGGGCCATGTCTGAGCCAGAGCCTGAGATCTACTGGGTGACTCCTCTTGGGTCCAAAATATCAATTGACACTGTGTCAGAGCGGTACCACTTGAACAATGAGGGGACTCTGCGGCTGTCTCATGTTCAGGTTGAGGATTCTGGTCGTTACACCTGTGTGGCTCAGAACACAGAAGGAGCAGACACACGGGTTGCCACCATCCGTGTAAATGGCACTCTGCTCGACAGCGCCGAGGTGATGAAAATCTATGTCAAGCAGACCGAGCCGCACTCCATCCTTGTTTCCTGGAAAGTTAATTCCAACGTCATGTCCTCCAACCTGAAGTGGGCCTCAGCCACCATGAAGATTGACAACCCCCATATCACTTACACAGCTCGTGTTCCTGTAGAAGTTCATGAGTACAACCTCACACACCTTCAACCTGCTACTGAGTATGAGGTATGCCTCACGGTCTCCAATGTCCACCTGCAGACACACAAGTCCTGTGTTAATGTGACAACACGCATCGCTACCTTCGCCATGGACCTGTCAGCCCAGCACCCCAGTGCGGCTGTGTTGGCTGTCATGGCGACCATGCTGGCTTTCCTTAGTCTGGGCACAGTGGGCGTCTACATTGCCCGCAGATGGAAGAGGAAAAACTACCACCACTCTCTGAAGAAATACATGATGAAGACTTCCTCCATCCCCCTGAACGAGCTATACCCTCCGCTCATCAACCTGTGGGAGGCTGAAGGAGAGAAGGACAAAGACAGCAGCGCAGAGGGAAAACCCTCTCCTGTTGACACCACACGTAGTTATTACATGTGGTGAGGATTTAGTACGAGCCCTGGTTGCCTCTCCAGCAGCACAAAAAGACACCCTTTTGCCATTTTGGTGCAAAAGCCAAATAAAGTTGCAAATGTTTTTTTGTATTCTCAGCTTTGCTAATAAGAGGCAGAGTGATCAAGGACAGGATTTGTATTAGTATAGCGTATCGCCTTTGTTGGTTTGTTTCTTTATCTTAATTGTTTTGGATTATCCAAGATGGCAGCTGTATTTAGCCTCCAGGTTGTATTAGTTGCTATGCTCTTGTTTCTGTGGTGCATTTTGACTCATTTCCTTTTGGGTTAATAATACAGCAGCAGGGGCCGATGGTCTTCTTGCAGCATTAGTAGCATCAGTGTTTCTTTTAATGTTGTGTAAAACAGGTAATCTGTTGTGCACTGATAGATAACGGAGTTTGTATGAACTTCAGTTAAAAGCTGACAGCTGAGTTAAGACTTATTTAACTGTCTACTGAATGTTAGCAATTGTGCAGTAATGTTGTATCAACTATACCTTTGAACTTTCAGATTTAAATTGCAGAAATTAGAATTTTAGTTTGCTGATTAAATGTAATGTTAATGCTAGAAATTCAAATGTTTGTTAAAACATTATGGAGGTGCACTAGAAACTTTTCAACCCTTTTCTTGTTTTCTCACTTATTTTGCTAGACTTATTTAGCTTATTGCTTAGTTTATTATTTTCACATTTAATCTGTATGCTGAAGAAGTTACAATAAATACTTTTTCTTTCTTTTGCAGACGTTTGGTATTTTTTCAATCCCCAGTTTAGTCTCTTATCCTGTCAGACAGACACTCTCACTTCCCACTGATATATGCTGTTGGTTTCATGCGGAGTCTTAACCGTATGTCGAGAAGAACTTAAACCCATCTACGTCCAAAAACTGTCTAAAGTAGCTTTACCATCACAGTGCTCACATCCTCACAGACAGAGCGTAATGTGTCAGCTTAACATCTCAATATGCACATCAAAGAAACTTGTACTGTACGCAAAGCACATTCATGAGACAGATAAACAAAGAGATGCATATTCAAGCATGTGCTGCCCTCTGGTGGATGCTACATGATAACTAGATAGCTAACCTGCATCATAATGTTTGTATAGCTGTCAACAATGATAAAACACAAGGGTAATAGCATTAAAGCTAACAATTCCCATACAAATCAAGTGCAACATTTTGAGTCACATAAAGACAGCACCATTTTTATTATGGCCAAATATGACATTTAAGATTGGGTTGTTTCACCAAAAATAAAAATAAGTCAGGATGATTCCCTGATTATATTTCTTTCACTTAAAATATAAATTCACAAATACAAAAAGGAGAAAGATGAATCGCATTATTTAGGATGCTGTTTGTCACAGATTTATCAGTAATTGTAAAAATTATAAGCTTTTACAGTATGTACAATAATCTTGCAGCAGTTGCACAGTATGCATTTGACATTTACTGTATATTTCACAATCTATTCAGTCAGGTCTATTAGTCTGGATCTCAGCTAACATTTTTGATGATTATAACAACCTTTAAACTTCTTCCAAAGAGTTTTTGCCATTAACAAACCATACTGATTGTTGCCACTCCAAAAGCAGAAACAGCGTTATTCAGTGCCTGCTCCACCAATGCTCAGAGACGTTAGGAGAACAGAAATGTCATTTCTTATAAAAAATTAAGTCTGAAAAAAGTTATAAAATATTTTATTTCTGAGAATATCTGCTTGAATGGAAGACGATCTCTATGAAAATGAAATGGCATATATGAAGTCACTTTCATTGGTTAACTGTACAACCAACACAAGAGTTCAGGAGCAGCTAGAATAAGGTACCGTAGCTTTAAGACGAGCAGGTCAGGTCACCGTTTCTCCTGAGAGACACAGCGGAAACCAAGATTAGAGGCGGCACTGTCCGGAGTGTTTTGGCTACGAGCAGCACATCGGTATCTATAACAGTAAGACTGAAAAACAAAATAAAAATGACTGTCAAAACATTCCTTTTTCTCATCAATGGAACCTGCTTTATTACAGTATATTAAACATTTTCATCCACCACTTCATTCACTGTTGTGCATGTTTATTACCCATTTTAAAATGTTGTCCTCCACCACCACACCAAACCTATATTATGAGGACTTATTTTTCATGCAATTAGTCGCATTTCCATGGCAACTGGCAAACAGGTGTTGTCACCAGTGGGCGGCTAAAATGGTGTTGCAGAAAAAGTACTTAATGCATTAATAGAAGTTCTCTTTTCCTTTTCAAATGCAAAACAGGATCTGACTAAGGGACTGTCCACACACTAACACATACACTACTCTAGCCTCAGGTTTCAGGATGAAAAGAGAGAATAGGGGAGTGTGCATGTTCTCTGTAATCTAACAGGTGGACAGTCACTTGCTATGAAACAGATTTGCATTACTACATCACTCACATCACAACATACTCTATTGCACATTTAAATCTAACCACCTTATGAACCATTATAACTGTTCAAACATGTACAGTGGAGGAAATAAGTATTTGATCCCTTGCAGATTTTGTTAGTTTGCCCACTTACAAATAAATTAACAGTCTATAATGTTAATGGTAGGTTTATTTTACTAATGAGAGAGAGAATATCAAAAAGAAAATCCACAAATGGACATTATATAATGACCTCAGGGAAAATCTTGTCCCTGAGGTCCTTAGACAGCTCTTTGGTCTTGCCCATGGTGGAGAGGTTGGAATCTGATTGATTGATTCTGTGGACAGGTGTCTTTTATACAGGTAACAAGTTGATATGAGTACTTTCTTAAAGGAAGGGGACTTATGTAACCGGTCTGTGGGAGCCAGAATTCTTGTTGGTTGCAAGGGGATCAAATACTTATTTTCCACAGTTAAATACAAATCAATTACAAATCAATTTTTATCTTTTATATAATGTCAATTTCTGGATTTTCTTTTTTATATTCTCTCTCTCATTTGTAAAATAAACCTACCATTAACATTATAGACCGTTCATTTATTTGTAAGTGGGTCAACTTACAAAATCGGCAAGGGATCAAATACTTATTTCCTCCACTGTATGTATACACTCAGACTGTTTTTTTATTTCAAGTTTGATACAAAAAAAAAAGAAGCTATATAGAATAACAAGCATTTACGTTATAGTCTACTTTACCTTGTGGCACATGTATGACCCTCCCTTCTTCACCTTGTCTGTGCCTGACGAAGGACCAATCTGAAGGAGAGAGAAGTTATTAGATATTAGCTCAAAAAACAAACCTGAAGAACTTAAAAGCTTAGAGATAACGTGTTTTACTGGGTTTTGTTGATGCTCTGTGGTGTGATGAACAGTCCACCAGTCTGAGGTCCATTCCCATGCATTCCCCACAATGTCATGCAGACCGAAACCATTGGCTGGAAAGGACATCACCTGCAGGGAGAGTATTGCCACATTTTAAAGAATTTCATTTGAAACACTTGTATGTTCTGAAAGTCTCTTTATTTGATGTAAGCCCTATGGATGTGTACTACTGTACTTGTAGGTCCATGTATGTATGTTTTACCAGAATTAAATTATTTTGAACTAATCCAGACATACAGATCATCTAGTGTTGAACTAGATTTCAGGTAATTCAATCTGTTTTTATCCATTACTTCTTTCCTATTGCCAAGCTGCTAAAATTAGGTGGCTATTTGAATGTTACATTTGTATCATTATAATACAAAAAAAGCCCCTTCTTTTCAGGTAGTGGGATCAGAAAAAATGCAGTTCCTTCAGAAGCGTATACTGTACCATTTAAAAATCTGAGTGCATTTTTTCATGCTTGATATCTTTAAATCAGGGCTTCAAACCTCTCATGATAGAAAAAGAGATTGGATTAACATGATGTGATGGTTTTGCATTTGATCTTCTTGTAGGACTCAATCAAATTCTGAGATGAGCTCTTATTTCCGGAAACCGTTCCTTTCCTGTAGCTTCTAAAGGCAGAGACTCAATTATCAACCTTATTCCAGTTTTGCGACAATTGCTTATAAGCCCCTCACATTCTTTCATACCTGAAATATGTTGCAGTTTTAACACACCCATAACTACATCCTCTTTGGTCTTACCGGTGAAGTTTGAATGTATCCATCCTCTGCAGAGTTATGGTTGGGGAAGTCCCCCTGCCAGAGGTTGGCATAGTGCTGTCCTTTCGGGTTCAACTTGTTTCCCCAGGGGTAAAGTCTACATGCAAGACATTGACATGGGACATACTGTATGAAAACCACAGCACATTGTAAGCATATTGGCGTATTTTAGTCATATAATGAGTAAGTATTGTACCTGTCTTCAAGGCCCCCTCTGCAGGCGTACTCCCATTCTGCCTCTGTAGGAAGTCTCCTATTGGCCCAGGAGCAGTAGGCGACTGCATCGGCCCAAGACACATGTAGAACAGGATGGTCCAGCCTACACAAACACAGGTTTAGATTTAAACACTGGAGTTGTATTTGCTGAAAATAAAGAACAATTATAATGAAATAAAAGAAGTAGCTTTGGATCATAAATATTCAAAATGTTCACATTCATGTTTCAAATCTGTCTAAAACAATGAGTGAAATAACTTCTGGTTGTTTGAACTTAACCTACTTGTCCACAACGCTTGTAATGAAATCCTTTCTTACTGTGAATCCAGTGTAAGTGATAGAAAACAAAATCCACAGTCTTTGTGCTCTTTAAAAAAAAATGCATTTTGAATTTCAAGTGAAGCTTACAGTAGGCTCCAGCAGTCTGAGTTAAATTATTAAATGGATTTCCTCCAATTATATATAAAGTATTTTTCAAGTTCCTAATCCCCCGTGTTTCTTTAAAATAACTTATTCAGGGACGGCTGTTGATAAGGCTTGCCGGTCAAATAGAGTTCAGAAACAGCAGCCCCCTCAGTTTTTATTGGACAGCATGTCAGGAGCCAATCAGTTACTTTGAAAAGTTTAGTGTTATATTGGCTTGGTTTTGTAGTTTTTGTCTGCCAGTTCACTCCAGAGAGTTTGATGGATATATGTGAAGTAAATGTTGTTTTGCTGGTTGTTTAAAGTGGACCTATCATGCTATATTTGAATAATATATTGTAGGGCCATACCTATATAAGGTATATTTATACGTTTTCTTTTTCAAAATACCAAACAGATCATGCATTTTAGCCATGCCTCATTTCGCTCTATTTTGCTGTCCTCCACCCTGTCTTTGCATGCGCTGCAGCTGACCACGCCCCCCTGCAAAGGAGGGGGCCGAGTTACGAGCGTCGTGTTACCATGCTGTTACCATGCCACGGCAACCTCTCATTCCCCTGATAGGTCAGCACCGCCGTCCTGACGTCAGAGGAATGTTCAAATCTGGATCAGTTTTTATCAGATCCGTTGCAGCCCCGTTTTTAGAGATTTGGGTATGGAGGAAAAGAGAGAGGGTTGTGTTTTCTGACACTTGGTGAGTTCCTTGGAACACCGGGGACACATATTCATGTATAAAAGACGTACAAAAGTGCATTTTGCATGATAGGTCCCCTTTAAGGGGTTAGAAATATGTGGGTTTGCTTTTATTGCATCCATTGTCAAAATATGATTCCATCAGTGACTTTTATAATGAGGTTGAAAACACTATTGAATAGGGTCACAATATGAAAAAGCAGGGGTTTTCTACAAAAAAAGGGCCATAACTTTAGATGACCCCACTTCTTACTGTATGTCTCAATCACTGCTAAAGCCTTGTCCTTGCTTAAGCTAAACTTGGAAGAGAACGGAGAGTGTGGATTTTGTCCCCTATCACTTAGACTGAAAGCTCATCCAAGGACTATTTGGGTTTCAGGGATAAAAAGAGAGCTTTCTACCGGTCTGTGATGTTGGAGTCTGGACCATTAGGGTGCCTCCAGTTGGCACCTTTGACTGGAAGCCACCAGGGGGCAGCAGCCACCTGAAAACAGAGTGATATAGATATAATGGTTACAGACTGATATTATTTTTTTTTCATACTCTTCATTCCATTTTCTCTTACATTTACATGTCATTTGGAATTTGCTTATGTCCACAGATTTGGAATGGTACTAATGGTTTCCACTATACCACACTAATGGGTACACAGCACTTTCCCTGCCACATGACAGCTGAGATGAAGCAGTCAATACTCTGCTATCTGGTTTACATCTGTGGGAGGGCTGTGGCCTCAGGCTCTCTGTGAAGATTCCCAAGACTCTTAAATAAGAGAAGTATATGTTTACATTATATCTGTTTATGACACCGACCATGGTGCAAGGAACATAAAATAAATATCAGTAATAACTAGAAATGCACTTGGAGAGCTAAGATCTCTGACAAGGCCGTTTCCTAAAGTTAAAATAATGTTTCTACAGTATCAGCCCCTTGATTGGGATCGGACTAAAAATGCAATGTGTTCTTCTTTGACCAAGCTACAAGCAAGTTCAATGAAGATCTTCCAAAAAATAAATAAGGTTACCCTCCTACATCTGAACAGAGGGTATAACACTGGAAGACAATGACAAGTGTACAACATGTAATATATATTTCTCCCCACATTTATCATTCTTTTAAAAATGATTACGTGTTTCTCAACGAAGAACAATTATCAAGGTGTACACATGTCAGGAGTTTTTACACAGGGCTACAAAAGGATGAAGCCAATAATCATGGCACTAAAGAATGCTTTATCTGGATGTAGCACAACAAAATGAGCGGTACAGGACAGTTGAATAACTATACTTACAGCTTGGGTGATTTGGTTTTTTACACTCTCGCTCAAAATCCCCTCGAACACAAATGAGTCTCCGAAGTTCTCTGCCTAAAAATACAAGGATAAAAACAATGTGAGCAAAGGTGATGCCGATTAAAATCATAACACTGAAACATCACTGCCAAATATTTGTTTTAATAACGATTGGTTTGATTTATTCAACTAATTTTTTATTAATTCAAAACACAGCTTATGGGTTAATCTATAGACAAATACCTCAGTAATGAATCCTGTGGCATTGACAAAGCCCTGAAACTGTTGGTTTGTCACTTCCTGGATCTCCATGTAGAAGGAGTCCACGTGCACCGGCCTCTGAGGGCCCTCGCCATCTGCAGGGATGGCTGGGTTGTCCGTCCCCATCAGGAACTCTCCTCCAGAAATCAGCACCATCTGTATGCATTAACAGACCAATGAATCTCTTCACTTTAAAGAAAGTAACAGAAATAATAGTGATGAGATACTTTAAAATGGCTGGGAACCTAGTTTATTCTAAGTGCAAATATCTATTTGAGAGCAAACCACTACGCTTCACAATGTTTCCATACACTTCAAAAAGACAAAAGCAAACAATACAGTTTTATACGGTATCAAAAGCAACACATTCAGAGATCAAATATTGTAAGTAAATGAATCAAATATCAAAAACGAACCTTAGGAGAGGATACAATTATTTGGTTAACGTTCGTACATAGCCCAAAATCAGATTGTCAGTCGGCTATTTACATATTTGTGCAATTCAAATGCAGTGTAAATGCAGCTTTTAAGCACATGGTTTATATGCTGTTTTTCTTCCAATTTATCCTACACAGTGGCACCAGATGTGACCTATATTTAATGACTGTGTATTGTGCAGGAACACAGGAAACCCCCATGCCTCTGAGGCAGTGAGACAAGGATCTAACCAAAGCCAAAACTAACAATCCCATTGGTGAAGCTTGTTGAGGGACACACTTGAGCAAAAAAACACATTGTCTTCCTCAGAACCAGCTAAAAGGTTCTATATTGAAAAAGGAAAAATAACTAATATTGCATACTGATGTCAACTACAATGCCACCAACATGCAGTCTTTCTCATAAACATTTTACAACAATACTATGCACTGGGAGACACTTTTGTGGTAAATGTAAAATACAAGGGACTCAGATCATGCTTTTTCAAAATGGAATTAGACATGTTTAATGTGGTCGGAAAGGCGGTCTACATTTCTGCACCACTTTTGGTTAAGTTTTAGAACAAGATGGTGGTCTATTGAGCAAGTGTCTCAATAGGGACTTTGTTACATTTCTTCTCAAAGGACAAAAGAGATGACTTACCTGACTAAGTATATTCTCGTCATCTCCCTGAGCCTCCTGCAGCCTCTCATTGGCGCCTTTTGAGTATTTGAGAGCTGGGTCTGCAGACACCGTGCTGTCCTCCACAGGCTCCACAGCAGCGACTCTCTTCAGGTGCTCACAGCCGCAGCTAGTTGCTCCCTGAGCGGCTACGGGTTCTGACTGAGCCCCGCCTGAATCCTGAGTACAAAACACTTCGTTCACACAACAAACGATGAAAAACAAGACAAAACATCGCACCATCTTTGCAGGACACCGGCTCAAATTCTGCTCATGATGTTGATACTCTTACTTCCGCAAAGTCACGTGATCAGTCAGCTGGTTGCAGTGTAAGAAAAAGTAACTCTTTCCTGCCCGAAGTGAATATGTGTTGTGTACTTTTAATTAAAAAAGTAATACAATTGCAAACTATGAGTAGGGCCGGCGAAAACAGCAAATGGTGTTGGTTTGAAGTAAATAAAATAACTTCCTTAAACACTAGTAAATAAAATACTTGTTCAAAACCACAAGTGGTGCTGTTTGACAGTTTATTTAGTTAAATAGTTTTTCTTCACCATTTAAATCAGGACTTCGCGCTGGGAGTGGTAGCACAGCCTGGATTCTCAGAGGGATGGGACCACATGGACATAATTTCCCAGTTTTCAACACTACGGCCGCTTGAGAAAAAGAGGTGGCAGCGAGCCAATGAGCCGCCTGCCTCAGTGCACACAGCCCAGAGCACCGACAGGCGCGGAGAGGTGATAGAGCTGTCAGAAAAACTGGATTATTACAATCGCTGACGCCTGGATCTCACCCTCGGGCCGGTGGTGAAGAGGAGAGCCACAGTCATGTTGTCCTAGCCGGTCGAGAGAAGGCTGAGCACCCCAGCGTTTACCCGGACCGAGGTAAAGTTGAGCACACAACTTGTACAGTTGACCATCTTCTCTTCCTATCCGTATCCTCTCGTAGAGGAGAAAAAACAGTTACTTCGCCCTCCTTAAATGGTTATTAAAGTGCTCACAGCGCTCTTGATGTCGTCGTTAACACAGTAGGAACAACAAATGACCAAGAAAACGATACCTCCTGATTACTTTAAAACGGTTGCAGATCCCGAAGCAAAAGACAGCCTACCATCGTTTACTCAAGTTTCATGTGACTTTCATTGGTCTAACACTAATAACAGGCCTGTAGGAAAGATGCGCGCGTGTGCTTTGTAATAGCTGGTCATTTTGTGTTGTATGTCATTATTTTAGGCTTGCAACAACGCCGTTAGTTTATTTAGTATACTTTATCGACCGCAGTGAGAGGCAGTGGTTGGAAACAGACAGATAACCTGAATGAAGTGGACCTGCGGTGCACACATATCAGCTTCAGCGGCGATGACCTGTTGCAGGTGCATAAACCTTCCTGCTAACTGCAGCTCATAATCATTAACTGTCCAGCCTGAGCCTCTACAAACAGGTAACAGTAACAGCAGAGCATTTCCCTGCAGCTTCTATGCAAATTCCAGAGAGTAGTATCAGTGTAGTCTCAGGGAAGCCTCTCTTTTTCAAATTTCACTACTGATCAAACGAGGAAATGTTTCTGTGAATGTTGTGTGAGTGTACTGTATGATCATATCTGCAAATGCCCAGTAAATATGAGAATCCACCAATTGTTACTGACTGAAGTTGAATGAATGTAACTATAGATCATCATCATCACACTATTACAGATAATATCAGGAAAGAATTACAAATAAGGAAGCTTTTTCTGCTTTTTAGACTTTTGTGATAACATATTGAGAATATCATATACTAATCTTCACTCCTTTCTCTTGCTGTAGGTGTTCTCTGTGTGTGTCAAACATGTCGGATAAGATGTCGAGCTTCCTACACATTGGGGACATCTGCTCCCTGTATGCAGAGGGATCCACCAATGGCTTCATCAGCACACTGGGGTATGTCCATTTTGCCGGCCGACCATTATGTGTGGGCCCACTTCACACTTTTCTCTCTTCTACTGCAAGCTGAGCAGTATGTCCGAGAAGGGAAGTCACACTAGTAGTGGTGTTAACCGCTTTTGAGAATGTCTGATATTTTGGAGAGCCACATTGTGGTGCCATCAGACATCACTGCCCACCATCAGGGACATAATGTGATTAAGTGGTCTGGATGAAAGTTTGCAGTTTATCTCACAGACAAAGCTATGAATGCAGTGGGAGGCCTTTGAAGTGCTGCTTTGGCCATGGCTGACACTGATAGTGATGGGAGAAAAGGAAATGTATAGGGTGGAGAATGCACAGCTATGATGAAGTGTGTGTGTGTGTGTGTGTGTGTGTGTGTGTGTGTGTGTGTGTGTGTGTGTGTGTGTGTGTGTGTGTGTGTGTGTGTGTGTGTGTGTGTGTGTGTGGTGTGTGTGTGTGTGTGTGTGTGTGTGTGGTGTGTGTGTGTGTGTGTGTGTGTGTGTGGTGTGTGTGTGTGTGTGTGTGTGTGTGTGTGTGTGTGTGTGTGTGTGTGTGTGTGTGTGTGTGTGTGTGTGTGTGTGTGTGTGTGTGTGTGTGTGTGTGTGTGTGTGTGTGTGTGTGTGTGTGTGTGTGTGTGTGTGTGTGTGTGTGTGTGTGTGTGTGTGTGTGTGTGTGTGTGTGTGTGTGTGTGGAGAGGGCAGAGTTTGAAGGTAAACACTCAGGTGGTGCTTTGCACAAAACTGAACACAAATGGTAAACCTGTTACACAAACCACTCATTTACCCACACAGTCAATTGTTTTGTTGGTTTCGTGAATTTGTTTGAACTCCTATTTGGAATAAAATATAAAGCAGTAAGGAGAGGTACATTTCACTATTCAATTCAATTTTTGGGAACCTTGTTCTATTCCCGATTTAAAATCAAATCTCCACTCAATAAGGATGCTGATCTACTTTAGTCTGCTTTGCGTTTATAAAGTCTGTGTGGCAAATTGTTGCATGAAAGCAGAATTACAGTGTGTAATTGTTCAGGGAGCTTTTATAATTTAAAAAGATTGATCAACTGTCGAAACACACAAAGGCCAACCCAAGACAACACCTAACATTTATTCATGCTAAACTTGCACAAATAAACACTTTTTACTAAAACATTTTTAGTATTGCTCCATTTAAAGTGACTTCAAGTGTTACAGGTTATGCAAAAAGTATTGCCTGTTACATGAATACACTTCAAAGGCTTCGACTAGCTACCTTTTGATTTGACAGGAACTTTCCAATTAAAAAAAAAAGGATTTGTTATTCATGTAATTATTCAACAAATCAAACGATAGTGCTTGACACTACTTCGACTTGGGCAGTGGTATCCATCAGTAGCCCCTTTACAAAACGACATTTTGTAGAGGGTTGTGAATCGATTAAGAATCTCGATTCTTTCATTAAATGATTTCCCCCCCCCCAAGCAACAAAAGCACTTTTGAGTTCAAATGGTAGGTGCCGTCTCATGTGTCCTGCATCTGTAAAACTAACAGGGAATCAGCTAAGCGTTCAGGACCACCCCTGCTCATGAAAAATTGAATGACCTACAGCAAAGACGGAGTCACTACAGAGAAACTGTGGCCTTTCTCGAGTTTAAGCGCTTCCCACGTACACACACTCTCTCACACACACATACTGTACAAGCGAACATATTTACAAAACTGTCATGACAGATTTGGCCCGGGGCCATCTATTCCACGCACAACCACCAACTCAGCAGCATTCTCCAGATCTTCTGCCCTTAGAGGAGGAAATAATTTTCCGAATAGAGAAAGCTCTTTGAGTATTTCAGATTCTTTAGCGGAGCAGCATTTCCAGCTCCTATTTGGTTACTGGGTCTGTAAGAGAGCTAATTAAAAATACAAAATGTTAAATATGCTGTTGTTCAGTTAGGGTTAACTGTTAGCTGTTGTTCGATCCACACATCGGATGATCGCACACGCTGTATGTTTCTTCTTAACATGCCCTTATATTTTCTCACTCTTTATTTAAGTCTGCAGCCTTGTTCCTTGAGGTGTACAGACTGGAGCAGTAGACAGGTCTGTTTGGACAACTGCAGACATTCCCCGGGAAAAGGCCTGAAATGGATGTGGGATTTGGCCCATGTCCACACGAGTGTTATTCTAAGCCAGTAAAAGTTCAATTTGTCTCTAGAAATTCTAGCCTGCCCAAGGGTCATCTAATCCCAAATGATTTCATTATTGTTTGGAGGCATAGGGTATCAACATGCTGCAGCTATGTTAGAGCTCTCAATGAAAACAGCAGCACCAGTAGAGTTTTTTACATACAAAAGCTTTTTTTGGAGAACTTTTGTGTATTGGCCACTCCCATGTTTAACAATCACCCAAATCAGTTTAAATTGAAACCTTCATGATCTGTTTTCAAATAACAAACACAATCTTAATACATCTCTATAATTAGTTTTAATAATTTTTTCAATGATGCTTACTAAAACCGTAAATGTATTTTTCTTCAGTCCAAAATCCATAGCTATTCAATTGACTATTATAGAAAACGAATAACACCACCACATATTCACATTCGAGAGGATAGGTTATCAAAAGTGGTTGTAGTTCAAGTGTTTACGTAAAGAATGAAAAAACATATTTGACTATGAAAAGCAGCTTAGTGGGCCATCAGTGATTGGTTTCATTCAAAGATAAGACATTATAAACATATTGTACCTTTTTATTTACAATATGCTAAACAAAATTCACAGTTAAGAAATACAGAACGCGGTTTACCATTTTCTGTGAGTGTGTCTGTGCTTGTGTTTCCTGCATGTGATAACCAATGTTATTCCGTGTTTATATCCTTAGTTTGGTGGATGATCGCTGTGTCGTCCAGCCTGACGCGGGGGACCTCAACAACCCTCCGAAGAAGTTCAGAGGTAAGAGACTCAGAGTCCCCTCCTCTCCTCCCCCTGAGGCCTGACATCATCACACTAACTGCTGACTGTTTATACTGTGGCTCTGTGAGAGAGACGCTGCTGAATCTGTTATGCTGTGTTTCTTTGGTGACAGCCACAATATCTCTGTCCACTGGACTTCAAACAGGGCTGTTAATGGTGTGTGTGTGTGCGTGTGCACAAGCATCCATGCATGTGTTTATAGCTGTGTGTTTGCTTGCATCCATTGCTTGCAGAGGTATAGAGGCGGATCAAGAGAATCAGCTCTGATGTTGATTTGTTGGAAAACATCATGCTGCTTTAAGAAGAAAAGACTTAAGATGTCTCCATGGGGGAACCCGCTATTTTTAGCTCCCATACAGGAAGTGTAACTCATGACCCTCGGTTCTCAGGCTGGAGGCTTATATCTCTGGGGAGAGGCCTGGCCCGACTTTATACAGAGAA